ACTAGATGGAGTCATCTCAAAATAACGACAGAATCAACCACTAGATGGAGTCATCTCAAAATAACGACAGAATCAACCACTAGATGGAGTCATCTCAAAATAACGACAGAATCAACCACTAGATGGAGTCATCTCAAAATAACGACAGAATCAACCACTAGATGGAGTCATCTCAAAATAACCTCAGAATCAACCACTAGATGGAGTCATCTCAAAATAACGACAGAATCAACCACTAGATGGAGTCATCTCAAAATAACGACAGAATCAACCACTAGATGGAGTCATCTCAAAATAACGACAGAATCAACCACTAGATGGAGTCATCTCAAAATAACGACAGAATCAACCACTAAGGAACGAACTTGGAATGGAGCATTTTTGTTTACTACTGTCCTTAGCTTCTGCACGTGATTGCATGAGTACCACGTGGTACAATTAGGCAAACATGATCAGCAATTGGACATTTCAAATTTTTGGGAGCATAAGCAAGAGGTGGGGGTGGGGGGACGGTCCGCCCCCAGGCGGTACATGTTCATGAAATACAAGGGTGCCATGTTCGACCAAGTGCCGAGTTTTTCGTGGGGTCGAGGCGTCACAAGTTTGCTGCATCCTTGCTCATGGCGGGTGTCATCTGTACAACATTCATTCTACTAACTATGGGGAGAGAGATGCGTTATAAGTTATAGATATGCACTGTGAGCCATGTGGTGGCGGCCTTATTGACGGGGGCCCTTTTGTCATGGGCCTTTTTGACGGGGAACTCTTTTGTCATGGGCCTTATTGACGGGGGCCTTTTTGTCATGAACCTTATTGAGGTCCTTTTGTCACGGGCCCTTTTATCGGGGCCCATTTATCGATATCACGTAGATTAGTTTCAGGAATTTAGGTATAAACAAAATTAATTAAAAATTAACGCAAAAGCCAAAAAAAAAAAAAAAAAAAAAAAAAAAAAAAAAAAAAAAAAAAAAAAAAAAAAAAAAAAAAAGAAAAGGGATATAATTGTTGTTTTTAGTTTTCAATCTTTCTTTCTGATTCAAACAAAGATTGAACATTATTTTATTCATTAGCCCCAGGATATCATTTATAAAACAATAATATTACGGTAACTAAATGTGTACCTGTTTCAGTTAATATTTTGTATAGCCGGTACTAAAACTTCTGGGATATTTTTCAATGTAACAATGGAACATCTTCAGTTTTGACATGAAACATTTTGTGTGTGACGTCTTAGAGAGTATTACAACTAATTATTTGATTTCCAACATTCAAGTTATTATTACGTCATATTTGAGCAGACCAAAAAGTTGGAAAGTTATCCATATTTGCTCCATGAAAGCAAGCATTGTGGCGAGGGAAATTTGAAATTTCAATATTGAATCTTAAACACATACTCTCTTTACATAATGAATTTAAAGAAATTTTAAGAAAATTAAAAAAATTGTCCTAAAAAACAGGATCTATAACCATGTTTGTAAACATTAAAATTCGGGCCCAGTCGTTAATAGCTAATATTCGAAATGGCCGTAATAGTTGATATTGAAATTGGTGGACCCGAAAGTATTTGTGGTATCGGTATTAAATGTTTTAATAATCATCGCAAAATTATAATAGGTTAGAAAATTCAAGAGCTATAACCATTGTAGATATCACAATTATCACATTTTTCTAAAGTTTTGTAAATGGTAACTGTTATCTATTTATATTATTGAAATGGTAGAACCAATGAAATATAGCTACGCTCAGTATTTTTTTATGGTTTTAACATATTTTTTTAACCAGTCTTTTTTTTTTGTTGCCACCCCACCCCTTTTCCGCGATTTAAAAAAGAGGGCATGGCCTAAAGTGCAGGGTAGGATGAGGGGGAAAACGTCAAGAAATACTTAACTAGATTTGGAATGGTGGAAGGGGCTAACGAGGAGAGTTAAATGCCACTGTCCTAGTTCCTATGTAAGAACACCAGCAAAGGCAGGCTAAAGTATTAGTACAGGTTTGGTATACTATAATTATTTGTTTGGAATCTGTTAACTCAAACAGCATATATTTTTCTTATCTAAATAATTTATTTACAAATGGCTTATCTAAGACCTTTAAAAATAATTTTAATGTGTCAAAAGATAAACAAAGTTGAAATCATTCAAAATCAAAGTTGATGGCACTTTTTAAAAAAATGACTGTGACTCAGTTATTTGATAAAGAGATCGTAAACTCAATACCGGTACTTCATTTCGGGAATATCTGCTACTCACCACAGATCTCGGTAAATAAACAACACAATTTATTGGTGGACCCTATTTTATTTGCTGTCGCCTACGCTTACTTTAAATAATTTCTTTTTTTTTATGGTAAGTGATTTTAAGCAAAATTAAGTAATGTTTTCACAGCAACGTTTCTTATTTTTGTATATCCTTTGTCATTAATAGCATCACTAAAAGTTTATAGCATTAGGCCTATAACTATAATTGTATATAATTATAATTAGATCTAGTATTTATTTATTATTATTATTAGATCTAGTCCTGACATTATCATTATGTCATTATCTACTATTAATAATTACTATAATATAACTTTAAAGTAGTGTGATCATACATTGACATTCATTCTGTATATGAAAAGGTATGCCGCGCAAATTCCCTTATGCCTTATGAGGAGTAAAAGTACAAAAGTATATGAGTATGAGTAACATTTATGTAATGTAAAAAGTGGGGACATTGGTTGGCCAGTATTGCCAGTATTGGGGCAGTATGATCAGTATTTATGACTCAAATGACTATTATTATTTATATTTTATAGTCATTACTTTAAATTAGTAGAAGTGCCAAACCAAGCTGCCAAACTCTGCAATAACAAATGACTCAATCAATGTGTCCAATGTCACAGACAAGTTAGTATCAATACTATAACTAATGAAATGTAATTTAAAAGTTACATGTAGTTATGAATGTTATTAACTATCTAGAATATTATTTAGATCTAGTCTATTATTGTATGATTTTACTTGTGATGTGCTGCGGAATTCATGGAAAGGCCTAGGCAGCGTTTCTCAAACCTTTAGTGGACAAGTTTTGAAATAAATAGCACCAGGGACCAGTGCCAGTTTTATACATTATACGATACCTAACCATACATTTTCATGTAGTTTGGTCTGGCAACGATGGCATAAGGCTCATGCATAATCATTCTGGAAAAGCTGGCCTTCGTTGTGCAGTGCATGAAAAAAGGCTGCAGAGCTTTGATGTAGACATATTAATTCATATTAATATCAGCTGTGGTGTTAGCTGCCCCTAGTCCTAGTGTCTTAGACATCAACATTTTCCTTATACTTATACTATCATAGTAGGCCTATTAAATAAATTTTATATATTATTAGCTGTCTTAGACCTAGTGTAGTTTTTCAGACACCTTAAAAAATATTTTAACTAAGCAATTTAAATACTTATAAATAGGGCCTCTAACCCTATTAAATTAAACTTCACTGAAGATTAACTTTAAGTTTGAAGGCAATGTGAATGCCCATTTAAAAATATTGAAAAGAAAAAATTTTAGTTTAAAAAAAATGTTTTTTGACCATGTGATGAAATCGTGTGCTCTGTGAGTAAAATCTGGTTCCCTGGTGATTAGATTTGAAAAATGTAAAGAATTATTGAGATACTCGTGACTCGTGATATTCTAATTGTTCCTTATCATATCATTATTAAATAGTCAACAATGTACATTATTATATTACTAATATTCATTGTGAACTCTCAAATTAAGTACCAGAACCTGAACCCACAGATTTGACAAAAAAGAGAGGGGTGGAGGGGGGGGGGGGAGAGGTAAGGTGTAGATGCCTCAGGATTAAGGTGACCGTTCATACTGATATTATCAAGGAGGTTCTGACCTTTGGCACCTTTGTCAAGAGAGGGGTGGAGGGGGGGGGGGAGAGGTAAGGTGTAGATGCCTCAGGATTAAGGTGACCGTTCATACTGATATTATCAAGGAGGTTCTGACCTTTGGCACCTTTGTCCTGTTATGTTGTGAGCTAAAACCAGTACCGTTAAAAATTAACTTTTTAAAAACAGACAGAACAGGTCTCTTTGAAATCACAAATAATTGGTGTAACATGGTTTAAAATGTCCTGATTTCAAATTTGAACATTTTAAGACATCCTTGTTTTGATTTAGAAAAAAATTTTTTTACCATACATTAGAAAAAAAGGTTTATAGACTCATAGAGAATTAGTCATCATCAAGGCACAAATGTTATTTTACTATGTTATAATCATATCATCAAGGCCCAAATGTTATTTAACTATATTATAATCATATCATCAAGGCACAAATGTTGTTTTACTATGTTATAATCATATCATCAAGGCACAAATGTTATTTTACTATATTATAATCATATCATTAAGGCACAAATGCTATTTTACTATGTTATAATCATAACATCAAGGCACAAATGTTATTTTACTATGTTATAATCATATAATCAAGGCACAAATGTTGTTTTGTTGTTTTACTATGTTATAATCATATCAAGGCACAAATGTTGTTTTACTATGTTATAATTATATCATCAAGGCACAAATGTTATTTTACTATGTTATAATCATATCATCAAGGCACAAATGTTATTTTACTATGTTATAATCATATCTCCCAGATAATGAACTTGCACATAAAATTAATTGATCGTTAATTATTTTTCTTTGGACCTAATACTTTTTAATCAGGTGGCCAGGTAACTAATGCTTAGAGCTATTATGGGTCTGAATAGCATTTGAAATTAATAGGAACACATTCAAATGCACACTGCAGGACATATGGTATAAGTAGGGGAAGAAATAGGAAATAACAACAGTGTTGAAAATAAAGAACACTATTAAACAAAATTAAGTTATTAAAATATAATGGGAACTATGAGCCTGCATTTTGCTAAATAGTTGGTCAATTTCCATTTTCCTAACTACATGAGTTTATATAATTTTCAATGATATCTATAGTCTTTGTCTGTCATACGAATATTGCTTGCATTAAATAGAAACGTTCAGTTCAAGTTTTTTTTCTCTCTGTAGATATGTTAGTTAAAATCGTATGCATGCAAGCAGAAAAAATGTTATGTAAAATACAAAAAAATTTAACATTATAAACGGAACATTCTCATCTGTTTTAAATTTAGGCTAATATTTTGTATTTTTAAATTAATGATTCATTTTATTTTTCTTGTTTAGGTTTGATGTGAGCCTTCGTCTTATTACTAGATCAGTTTATTAGGATTAAACCTTCTAAAATGATGTCAGATGAGGAAATTGAACTTCGGCAACTTAGGAATGAGCTAGAAGAGGTTTGTGAATCTTTAATAATAATAATAATAATAATAATAAAGTTTATTTTTAAAAAATCATGCTTCAACCCCAAAGGCTCGAAGCGCTGTACAAAGTCAACCATATCTTTGGGGATATAATTGCCACATCATAGTTGCCACGTCTTTGGGGATATAGTTGCCTCATCTTTTGGGATATAGTTGCCACGTCTTTGGGGATTAGTTGCCATGTCTTTGGGGATGCAACAAAACAACGAACATGTCGGCAGAAAGCCCTCGTCATCTACATATATGTGAATTGCCACAGTTGGCTGCAGGGTCAGTACCCATCTCCATACACGTGCATTTCCATCGTTGGCTGCAGGGTCAGAGCCCATCTGCATCTTTGTGTATTACCATAGTTGGCTGCAGGGTCAGTGCCCATCTCCATACACATGCATTTCCATAGATGGCTGCAGGCTCAGTGCCCATCTACATATACGTGAATTACCACAGTTGTCTACATGGTGAGTGCCCTTATCCATACACGTACTTTGCCACAGTTGGCTGCAATGTCACTACCCATCTTTATATATATCTGCATTGCCATAGTTGGCGCTTTGGAGAAATGACAGTGCTTTGTAGTCACAGTTCGAAGACTTGCCCATAGAAATCTTCAGAAAGTCGTTGCACTGACCATACAATTACCAAGCACTGCCTTTCAATAACCGAGTATCCTTTCTCTCTTGAGAGGAGTTTCTGACTCATAAATCTTACAGGGTAGAGCGCTCCGTCCACACTTTGCATCAAACAGCATGAAATGCTAATATTGAAAGCATCTGTCTGGAGAGTAAATGGTTTTGAAAGATATACCAAGTCTTAGAGGAAGCTATTTCAGATCTTAGAGGAAGCTATTTCAGATCTTAGAGGAAGCTATGCCAGGTCTTAGAGGAAGCTATTTCAGATCTTAGAGGAAGCTATTTCAGAACTTAGAGGAAGCTATGCCAGGGCTTAGAGGAAGCTATTTCAGATCTTAGAGGAAGCTATGCCAGGTCTTAGAGGAAGCTATGCCAGGTCTTAGAGCAAGCTATGCCAGGTCTTAGAGGAAGCTATGCCAGGTCTTAGAGGAAGCTATGCCAGGTCTTAGAGGAAACTATGCCAGGTCTTAGAGGAAGCTATGCCAGGTCTTAGAGGAAGCTATGCCAGGTCTTAGAGGAAGCTATGCCAGGTCTTAGAGGAAGCTATGCCAGGTCTTAGAGGAAGCTATGCCAGGTCTTAGAGGAAGCTATGCCAGGTCTTAGAGGAAGCTATGCCAGGTCTTAGAGGAAGCTATGAATCAGTTATTAACCAAAAAGAGTGGCCCATGAGAATCAAGGATCTGTACCAGTCAATGTTTTCTTTATTTACTCTGCACAAGTTCAATACAACTTTACTATTCAAGTTTTTATGATTTTTTCTTTATTTCAGAATTTCAAACCCATATTTGATAAGGTGAGTTCAATATTTTTTTTTTTAAAGATGTCTTTATCCCACCGAGCCTAGAGATTGCCGTGATTCAGTTTGTGACAGTGAGATTGTTTAACCCACCGAGCCTAGAGATTGCCGTGATTCAGTTTGTGACAGTGAGATTGTTTAACCCACCGAGCTTAGAGATTGCCGTGAATCAGTTTGTGACAGTGAGATTGTTTAACCCACCGAGCGTAGAGATTGCGGTGATTCAGTTTGTGACAGCGAGATTGTTTAACCCACTGTGCCTAGAGATTGCCGTGATTTAGTTTGTGACAATTGCCGTGATTCAGTTTGTGACAGTGAGATTGTTTAACCCACCGAGCCTAGAGATTGCCGTGATTCAGTTTGTGACAGTGAGATTGTTTAACCCACCGAGCCTAGAGATTGCTGTGAATCAGTTTGTGACAGTGAGATTGTTTAACCCACCGAGCTTAGAGATTGCGGTGATTCAGTTTGTGACAGTGAGATTGTTTAACCCACCGAGCCTAGAGATTGCCGTGATTTAGTTTGTGACAGTGAGATTGTTTAACCCACCGAGCCTAGAGATTGCCGTGATTCAGTTTGTGACAGTGAGATTGTTTAACCCACTGAGCCTAGAGATTGCCGTGATTCAGTTTGTGACAGGGAGATTGTTTAACCCGCCGAGCTTAGAGATTGCCGTGATTCAGTTTGTGACAGTGAGATTGTTTAACCCACCGAGCCTGGAGATTGCCGTGATTCAGTTTGTGACAGTGAAATTGTTTAACCCACCGAGCCTAGAGATTGCCTGGATTCAGTTTGTGACAGGGAGATTGTTTAACCCGCTGAGCTTAGAGATTGCCGTGATTCAGTTTGTGACAGTGAGATTGTTTAACCCACCGAGCTTAGAGATTGCCTTGATTCAGTTTGTGACAGTGAGATTGTTTAACCAACCGAGCTTAGAGATTGCTGTGAATCAGTTTGTGACAGTGAGATTGTTTAACCCACCGAGCCTAGAGATTGCCTTGATTCAGTTTGTGACAGTGAGAGTCGTTCTACAGAATAACGTTCATCCTGTCATTTCCCTCACAACAACCACCATCAAATTAGATTGGTAAAACTTAGATTTCTTTATTTTAAATTAAATTTTAAAAAATATAAAAAGGTTAATTTGCTTTAATATACAAGTGCTTTGAGATACAAGTGCTTTGATATACAAGTGCTTTAATATACAAGTGCTTTGAAATGCAAGTGCTTTGAAATACAAGTGCTTTGAAAGCACGTTTCAGGAATGAATTCTGCTGGCTATTCAATGTTTTACTGTACAACAACAATCTCATGTTTTACTGTACAACCACAATCCAATGTTTTACTGTACAACTACAATCCACTTATTTTATAATCCTTGAAAATGTTACAAAAGTCAATTCATTGTTAAGATATTAACAGTCTAGTATTCCCAGGAGGAATGTTTTCATTACTATTTGCTTTATTTTAGCATGGACCTGGCGGTCTTCCGGCTGGAGACCTCCGTCGAGAGTTGGAGGAGGAGGGCTTATTGGAACATATACCTAGGTCAAGGCTGAATGAGCTAATAGATAGGGCTGACAGAGATGCAGACAAACTGATCAACTACAGGGAATTTGTTCGAATGGTTTGTTGGTTTCTGTTTTGTTAGTTTAATGTGTTAGAAAGGTTTGTTGATTTAATGTGTTAGAAAGGTTTGTTGGTTTAATGAGTTAGAAAGGTTTGTTGGTTTAATGTGTTAAAATGGTTTGTTGGTTTAATTTTCACATCCTACTAGTATAACCAACATTTGCACATCCTAGTAGTATCACAGATATTTGCAAATCCGGTCTAGGGTATCAAACAATTTTTATAAGCTTTCTATTGTAAAACAAATTTTTAAATATTTCTGTGATCAAAGGAGATCAAACTTATATTATCTCTCAAGTCATTTTATTAAATGTTTTGAATGTTTAGGTGACAGAAGATTTGACAAGAGAAGAGCGTAAACCTTTTAGACGAGTAATGAGAGCGGCAATAGCATCCATCATACCTCGGAGACAACGTGAAGACTTCTTGGCCAACTACACCTGTTGTCCTCCGCCAATCTTTATACCACTGATCAGTGTTGCCGAGGTACAGTGATAGGGACAGTGATGGGGACAGTGATTAAATTGACAATATTTAGCTCATACAAGTGTATGCAGATGATATAATTGATATATGATAGGTAGTGGCAGGATGGCATACCTTTCACTAGGTAGTGGCAGGTTGGCATACCTTTCACTAGGTAGTGGCAGGTTGGCATACCTTTCACTAGGTAGTGGCAGGTTGGCATACCTTTCACTTTGAAATAATGGAAAACAGGAACAAGTGTGGACTTACTGACAGCATCATTTTGCTCAATAGAAAAGGACAATTTAGCCAGAATTTAACATATAGAAAATTAAACCAGTAACAAGGTATTATATTAGTTGGCTTTAATTTTAATAATTGCTTTCATTACTTGAGTTTACTTTCAATAGAATAATTACTTTGATCATATTGGTTGACTTTCATTAAAATGATGACTTTCATCATGTTGGTTGACTTTCATTATAATGATGACTTTCATCATGTTGGTTGACTTTCATTATAATAATGACTTTGATCATGTTGGTTGACTTTCATTATAATAATGACTTATTCCCCTGAAATATTTCAATGTCTATATCATGTTTGTGCACTTAATGTCAATAGTGTAGTTATGGGAATAGGTTTAATCATACGTGACGGCATGGGAATAGGTTTTATTATACGTGACGGCATGGGAATAGGTTTTATCATACGTGACGGCATGGGAATAGGTTTTATTATACGTGACGGCATGGGAATAGGTTTTATCATACGTGACGGCATGGGAATAGGTTTAATCATACGTGACGGCATGGGAATAGGTTTTATTATACGTGACGGCATGGGAATAGGTTTTATTATATGTGACGCATGGGAATAGGTTTTATTATATGTGACGCATGGGAATAGGTTTTATTATATGTGACGCATGGCAATAGGTTTAATCATACGTGACGGCATGGGAATAGGTTTTATTATACGTGACGGCATGGCAATAGGTTTAATCATACGTGACGGCATGGGAATAGGTTTTATTATACGTGACAGCATGGGAATAGGTTTAATCATACGTGACGGCATGGGAATAGGTTTGATTATACGTGACGGCATGGGAATAGGTTTTATCATAGGTGACGGCATGGGAATAGGTTTTATCATAGGTGACGGCATGGGAATAGGTTTTATCATAGGTGACGGCATGGGAATAGGTTTTATCATACGTGACGGCATGGGAATAGGTTTTATCATACGTGACGGCAAGGGAATAGGTTTTATCATACGTGACGGCATGGGAATAGGTTTTATCATACATGACGGCATGGGAATAGGTTTTATCATACGTGACGGCATGGGAATAGGTTTTATCATACGTGACGGCAAGGGAATAGGTTTTATCATATGTGTTGTCAAGTGAATAGGTTTTATCATACGTGACGGCAAGGGAATAGGTTTTATCATACGTGACGGCATGGGAATAGTTTTTATCATACATGACGGCATGGGAATAGGTTTTATCATACGTGACGGCATGGGAATAGGTTTTATCATACGTGACGGCAAGGGAATAGGTTTTATCATACGTGACGGCATGGGAATAGGTTTTATCATACTTGACGGCATGGGAATAGGTTTTATCATATGTGACGCATGGGAATAGGTTTTATTATACGTGACGCATGGGAATAGGTTTTATCATATGTGACGCATGGGAATAGGTTTTATTATACGTGACGGCAAGGGAATAGGTTTTATCATATGTGACGCATGGGAATAGGTTTTATTATACGTGACGCATGGGAATAGGTTTTATCATATGTGACGCATGGGAATAGGTTTTATTATACGTGACGCATGGGAATAGGTTTTATCATATGTGACGCATGGGAATAGGTTTTATCAGACGTGACGGCAAGGGATTAGGTTTTATTATACATGACGGCATGGGAATAGGTTTTGTCATAGGTGACGACATGGAATAGGGTTTATTATACTTGACGGCATGGAATAGGTTTAATCATACGTGACGGCATGGGAATAGGTTTTGTCATATGTGACACATGGGAATAGGTTTTATCATAGGTGACGGCATGGGAATAGGTTTTATCATACGTGACGGCATGGGAATAGGTTTTATCATACGTGACGGCATGGGAATAGGTTTTGTCATACGTGACGGCAAGGGAATAGGTTTTATCATACGTGACGGCAAGGGAATAGGTTTTATCATACGTGACGGCATGGGAATAGGTTTTATCATACGTGACGGCATGGGAATAGGTTTTGTCATACGTGACGGCAAGGGAATAGGTTTTATCATACGTGACGGCATGGGAATAGGTTTTATCATACGTGACGGCATGGGAATAGGTTTTGTCATAGGTGACGACATGGAATAGGGTTTATTATACTTGACGGCATGGAATAGGTTTAATCATACGTGACGGCATGGGAATAGGTTTTATCATACGTGACGGCAAGGGAATAGGTTTTATCATACGTGACGGCATGGGAATATTTTTTGTCATACGTGACGGCAAGGGAATAGGTTTTGTCATACGTGACGGCAAGGGAATAGGTTTTGTCATACGTGACGGCATGGGAATAGGTTTTATCATACGTGACAGCATGGGAATAGGTTTTGTCATACGTGGTGGCTGTTTTTGGTGCCCGGATAAATAATTTTAAAATGATCCCTGTTAACATCTAAAAAATAATCTTAATCCGAATGTTCACTGTCTGTCTGATATGCTGAAAAGAAATATGTACAATATATAATCCTAACACATTTCCATTTATTTGGAACAATTATAGAATCTCATCTCATAGATTAAGTGACTAAAACTGTCTTTGTCTGGGGATGTCTGTGTCTGGGACTGTCTGTGTCTATGAATGTGTCTGGGACTGTCTGTTAAAACTGTGTCTGTGACTGTTAAAGACTGTGTCTGTGGCTGTCTGTGTTTAAGACTGTGACTGACTGTGTTTAAGACTGTGACTGACTGCGTCTGTGACTGTTTCTATGACTGTGTCTGGGACTGTCTGTATGACTGTTTCTGTGACTATCTGTGTCTATGTAGACAATTAAATTATTACCTGTATAGATTTTGTCTCAAACTGACATCTAAATCTTTTCCTGTAAAGAATTGGCTTCACTGAATGAAATCTTTGTCTGTGTTCCTGCAGCTGGTAGTCTTCATTGTGTACGTGTTTGTCTTCCTGCAGCTGGTAGTCTTCATTGTGTACGTGTTTGTCTGTCTTCCTGCAGCTGGTAGTCTTCATTGTGTACGTGTTTGTCTTCCTACAGCTGGTAGTCTTCATTGCGTACGTGTTTGTCTGTCTACCTGCAGCTGGTGGTCTTCATTGTGTACATGTTTGTCTGTCTTCCTGCAGCTGGTAGTGTTCATTGTGTACATGTTTGTCTGTCTTCCTGCAGCTGGTAGTCTTCATTGTGTACGTGTTTGACCTCCGTGACAAAGGAACGGAAACAACTTCAACTAGTGGCGTGGCCATGTACAGCCCCCTTGTGTACAAAGCTACCCGACGTTATGAAGCTTGGAGGTTCTTGACCTATATGTTGATGCACCAAGGGTAAGATGGAGCTTTTTAATAGTGATAGGATTAAGACATGACCAATGTAGTTGATTAAGACATGACCAATGCAGTTGATTAAGACATGACCAATGCAGTTGATTAAGACATGACCAATGCAGTTGATTAAGACATGACCAATGCAGTTGATTAAGACATGACCAATGCAGTTGATTAAGACATGACCAATGCAGTTGATTAAGACATGACCAATGCAGTTGATTAAGACATGACCAATGCAGTTGATTAAGACATGCATAAACAAATTTCAGATGTAGTTGAACCAAAATGCACCACAATCAGTATATTGAATAAAGAGATATGATGTTGAGTACTTGTAAAAACATTTCATCAGTTCTCTTTAGACCTTGGCTGTGAGGACAGCATCTTTAATTTTCGCGTATGATTGTTCTGTAAGGTATAGTCTTGCAATTGTTTCATTTCTTTTGCCAACTTTCAATTTTTTATCATCTGGCTTTATTAGCTTTAGTAAAATCCTTTTATCAGTTTCATTTCAAGTTTAGTAAATAGTTTACAAATGTTCATATAGTTAATCTTGTAAAAAAATGTTCATATATTTTATGTTGTGAAGAAATGTTCATTGATTTATCTTGTGAACAAATGTTCATGTAGTTTATTTTGTGTTCTTGTGAACAAATGCTCATGTAGTTTATTTTGTGTTCTTGTGAACAAATGTTCATACAGTTTATCTTGTGAAAAAATGTTCATATAGTTTATCTTGTGAACAAATGGTCATATAGTTTATCTTGTGAACAAAAGTTCATTAGTTTATCTTGTGAACAAATTTTCATTAGTTTATCTTTTGAACAAATGTCCATTAATTTTTCTTGTGTACAAAAGTTCATTAGTTTATCTTGTGAACATTTTTCATTTGTTTATCTTGTGAACAAATGTCCATTTGTTTATCTTGTGAACAAATGTTCATTAGTTTATCTTGTGAACAAATGTTCATTAGTTTATCTTGTGAACAAATGTTCATGTAGTTTATCTTGTGAACAAATGTTCATGCAGTTTATCTTGTGAACAGATGTTCATTAGTTTATCTTGTGAACAGATGTTCATTAGTTTATCTTGTGAACAGATGTTCATTAGTTTATCTTGTGAACAGATGTTTATTAGTTTATCTTGTGAACAGATGTTCATTAGTTTATCTTGTGAACAAATGTTCATTAGTTTATCTTGTGAACAGATGTTCATTAGTTTATCTTGTGAACAAATGTTTATAATTTTATTTAGTGTTCTTGTTGGTCATGTTTAACAATCACCCTCACTCCCCCGGTCACACAGAATTTACATGTTAAACAGTTTTAATAAAAGTACAAAAGTACACATGACAATTTGATTAGTTAGATCAAATCTGGATTTTCCTAGACCCAACATCAATCAAGCTTCTTTTTTTACCATTGTCTCAAAATCTATTCATTGTATTTTGTCACCTTGTCAATGTTATTATTAATTTCATTTTTACATTAGGGGTAAAAGTAATTTGGAAGTTAGTTCAAAATAAAATTTTAAAAGTGCAAGTACAGCTCTATACTTTATATAAAACTATAGAAAAATGTTTACTTTGGGATACAGTGAAATTCTTCTTTTGTATTTTGTTGTCTATTTCTATTTTGTACAGGTATTTACACATTATTTCTAATCTTGGTTTCCAAATTGTGTTTGGTACACCATTAGAAGTAGTCCACAAGTGGTGGAGAGTTGGACTTGTGTACCTGTTGGGAGTTATTGCAGGTAAGTGTACACAAATGATTGTATGGTGCTATTGCTGGTAAGTGTATACAAATGATTGTATGGTGCTATTGCAGGTATGTGTACACAAATGATTGTATGGTGCTATTGCAGGTATGTGTACACAAATGATTGTATGGTGCTATTGCAGTTATGTGTACACAAATGATTGTATGGTGCTATTGCATGTTTCTTTATACACATGATAATTGTCTGGATCTCTGTCGCATATATGTGTACACACACAATAATTGTCTGGGTCTCTGTCGCATATATGTGTACACACACAATAATTGTCTGGGTCTCTGTTGCATATATGTGTACACACACAATAATTGTCTGGGTCTCTCTTGCATATATGTGTACACACACAATAATTGTCTGGGTCTCTGTCGCATATATGTGTACACACACAATAATTGTCTGGGTCTCTGTTGCATATATGTGTACACACCACAATAATTGTCTGGGTCTCTCTTGCATATATGTGTACACACACAATAATTGTCTGGGTCTCTGTCGCATATATGTGTACACACACAATAATTGTCTGGGTCTCTGTTGCATATATGTGTACACACTCAATAATTGTCTGGGTCTCTCTTGCATATATGTGTACACACACAATAATTGTCTGGGTCTCTGTCGCATATATGTGTACACACACAATAATTGTCTGGGTCTCTGTTGCATATATGTGTACACACACAATAATTGTCTGGGTCTCTCTTGCATATATGTGTACACACACAATAATTGTCTGGGTCTCTGTTGCATATGTGTACACACACGATAATTGTCTGGGTCTCTGTTGCATATATGTGTACACACACGATAATTGTCTGGGTCTCTGTTGCATATATGTGTACACATAATTGTATGGGGGTATGGCATATTTGTGTGCACAACTGATAATTGCATAGTGTATGGCATAATATGTGTACATGTCATAAAGGATAAATGTATGGGGCTATTGCAGATATGTGATTAAAATCAAAACTTTAAAATTTATTTCATGTGTGAATACAAATAATAATCCTAGTACCTAGGCAGCTTTGTGGCAATTTAATTTTTAATGTCTTCTCCAAGATGTTGAGCTCACTCAAATGTTTTCTTCCATGTTGAGCTCACTCTAATGTTTTCTTCCATGTTGAGCTCACTCTAATGTTTTCTTTTATGTTGAGCTCAAACTAATGTTTTCTTCCACTTTGAGCTCACTCTAATGGTGTGATTCTTAACCTTTTTGGAGCTACCGAACCCCACCAGTTTCATATGCGCATTCACCGACCCCTTCTTAATAGAAAAAATAAAATATGATTTTTTTTTTCTGATTTTTTTTTGGACCTCCACCGAACCCTTGAGACTGACTCACCGAACCCCTTGGGTTTGATCGAACCCAGGTTAACAACCACTGATCTAATGTTTTCATCCATGTTGAGCTCACTCTAATTTTTTTCTTTTATGTTGAGCTCACTCTAATGTTTTTATCAAGTATCTAATATGTGTTGTAATTGAATGTTGCACTTGGCTGAAAATGCTCACCCCCCCCCCCCCCCCCCCCCTTTTCGTAGGCCACTGGCTCATTCTTGGTTTCCCCCATGTTACAGGCTGTGTGATTCACTACAGTTGTCACCATGCTAAGGTGGTCTGGCTCACTATTGTTTGCCTTAATGTTGCAGGTGGTCTGGCTCACTATTATTTGCCTTAATGTTGCAGGTGGTCTGGCTCACTATTATTTGCCTCATTGTTGCAGGTGGTCTGGCTCACTATTATTTGGCTTAATGTTGCAGGTGGTCTGGCTCACTATTATTTGCCTCATTGTTGCAGGTGGTCTGGCTCACTATTATTTGCCTCATTGTTGCAGGTGGTCTGGCTCACTATTATTTGGCTTAATGTTGCAGGTGGTCTGGCTAACTATTATTTGCCTCATTGTTGCAGGTGGTTTGGCTCACTATTATTTGCCTTAATGTTGCAGGTGGTTTGACTCACTATTATTTGCCTTAATGTTGCAGGTTGTTTGACTCACTATTATTTGCCTTAATGTTGCAGGTGGTTTGACTCACTATTATTTGCCTTAATGTTGCAGGTGGTTTGGCTCACTCCATCACTGATCATTCTGTGGGTTTAGTTGGTGCAAGTGGCGGGGTTTATGCTTTGCTTGGGGCTCATGTGGCAGCTATTGTTATAGTAAGTAAAATGATGGTCCATTTTGTGGTTGATACTCATGTGGCAGCTATTGTTATAATAAGTAAAACGATGGTCCATTTTGTGGTTAAGGCTCATGTGGCAGCAATTTGATAATAAGTAAAACTGTGGTCCATTATGTGGTTGAGGCTCATGTGGCAGCTATAGGCATGGCTTGTTAGTATGACAGATTACAAGTGAAAAAAATAAATTTTATTAAAAGATCTTTCCTCGACAATTTGGGGCAAATTTCACAAATTCTAGCTTATTTTTTTTATAAAAAATTAAATAATTAAATATTGCTTGTAGCAAAGTTGGGATGAAGACTCGATGAGATTGGGATATTGAAATCATTCGTGTGCATTCTTGATCAGACGTTGTAAGTAAAGTAGTATGCAAATCACCAGAATTGCAATAGCATCAAACGGACTTAAATTATAGAGAACTTTTTTTTTTTAAAGGGTTTTATGTTCCATATTTCCCATCTATAATGTCTCTTGTCATGTGGATAGAAAGAAAAGTAGCTGTCAAGTTTCCATCACTCTTGGTATCCAAAACTCCCGGTGTTAGGGTTAGGGTTCTATTCAAGGAATCACACCGCTTATTACAAATATGCTTTGTTATAATAAGAAATAAATGAAGGGACTGCTTTCAAGCTATGTAAATGAATGAAATAGTGAAATGAGGTATGTGGAAACTTGAAATAAGGTAACAGGACAAAAAACAAGGACGTTTCGGCATAAAGCCTTCCTCAGCCAACAATAGAAATGAAAATATAACAAAGAAAAGAACACAGTAGACAACTCATATATATTTTCATTTCTATTGTTGGCTGAGGAAGGCTTTATGCCGAAACGTCCTTGTTTTTTGTCCTGTTACCTTATTTCAAGTTTCCACATACCTCATTTCACTATTTCATTCATTTGTTATAATCATCAGATTGTGGCCCCTGATTTAAAGGTCTTTTTAATTTTTTAGAATTGGAAAGAGATGAACTACAAATGTATGGACCCTGCAGAGTTGGAAGACAACGTCTGCTGTGGTATAAGCCGTATTCTACTTAGTGCTCCAGTCAGATTGGCAATCATTCTACTATTAGGTGAGTGGACAATATTGCTGTGGTTTTGGTTGTATGCTACCATGCTATTCCGTGCTGTAGCATTCAGCTGTGGTTATGGTTGTATGCTACCATGCTATTCCGTGCTGTAGCATTCAGCTGTGGTTATGGTTGTATGCTACCATGCTATTCCGTGCTGTAGCATTCAGCTGTGGTTATGGTTGTATGCTACCATGCTATTCCGTGCTGTAGCATTCAGCTGTGGTTATGGTTGTATGCTACCATGCTATTCCGTGCTGTAGCATTCAGCTGTGGTTATGGTTGTATGCTACCATGCTATTCCGTGCTGTAGCATTCAGCTGTGGTTATGGTTGTATGCTACCATGCTATTCCGTGCTGTAGCATTCAGCTGTGGTTATGGTTGTATGCTACCATGCTATTCCGTGCTGTAGCATTCAGCTGTGGTTATGGTTGTATGCTACCATGCTATTCCGTGCTGTAGCATTCAGCTGTGGTTATGGTTGTATGCTACCATGCTATTCCGTGCTGTAGCATTCAGCTGTGGTTATGGTTGTATGCTACCATGCTATTCCGTGCTGTAGCATTCAGCTGTGGTTATGGTTGTATGCTACCATGCTATTCCGTGCTGTAGCATTCAGCTGTGGTTATGGTTGTATGCTACCATGCTATTCCGTGCTGTAGCATTCAGCTGTGGTTATGGTTGTATGCTACCATGCTATTCCGTGCTGTAGCATTCAGCTGTGGTTATGGTTGTATGCTACCATGCTATTCCGTGCTGTAGCATTCAGCTGTGGTTATGGTTGTATGCTACCATGCTATTCCGTGCTGTAGCATTCAGCTGTGGTTATGGTTGTATGCTACCATGCTATTCCGTGCTGTAGCATTCAGCTGTGGTTATGGTTGTATGCTACCATGCTATTCCGTGCTGTAGCATTCAGCTGTGGTTATGGTTGTATGCTACCATGCTATTCCGTGCTGTAGCATTCAGCTGTGGTTATGGTTGTATGCTACCATGCTATTCCGTGCTGTAGCATTCAGCTGTGGTTATGGTTGTATGCTACCATGCTATTCCGTGCTGTAGCATTCAGCTGTGGTTATGGTTGTATGCTACCATGCTATTCCGTGCTGTAGCATTCAGCTGTGATTATGGTTGTATGCTACCATGCTATTCCATGCTGTAGCATTCAGCTGTGGTTATGGTTGTATGCTACCATGCTATTCAGAGCTGTAGCATTCAGCTGTGGTTATGGTTGTATGCTACCATGCTATTCCGTGCTGTAGCATTCAGCTGTTGTTATGGTTGTATGCTACCATGCTATTCAGAGCTGTAGCATTCAGCTGTGATTATGGTTGTATGCTACCATGCTATTCCATGCTGTAGCATTCAGCTGTTGTTATGGTTGTATGCTATCATGCTATTCAGAGCTGTAGCATTCAGCTGTGGTTATGGTTGTATGCTACCATGCTATTTAGTGCTCTAACATACATCTACTGACTTCTCTTAAAGGCAGCCACTGATGACTGTCTCACATGCACATATTGAGCGACATGAAATGATTATGTTACCAGCATGGAAAGATTACAGTGTGCTATCACTAGGCTACACAGCTGCATCTAGCGAGCTATGTCATATCATTAGTTCACTGAAAGATTACAGTGTGCTATCACTAGCCTACACAGCTGCATCTAGTGAGCTATGTCATATCATTAGTTCACTGAAAGATTACAGTGTGCTATCACTAGCCTACATAGCTGCATCTAGTGAGCTATGCCATATCATTAGTTCACTGAAAGATAACAGTGTGCTATCACTAGCCTACACAGCTGCATCTAGCGAGTTATGTCATATCATTAGTTCACTGAAAGATTACAGTGTGCTATCACTAGCCTACACAGCTGCATCTAGCGAGCTATGTCATATCATTAGTTCACTGAAAGATTACAGTGTGCTATCACTAGCCTACACAGCTGCATCTAGTGAGCTATGTCATATCATTAGTTCACTGAAAGATTACAGTGTGCTATCACTAGCCTACACAGCTGCATCTATCGAGCTATGTCATATCATTAGTTAACTGAAAGATTTCAGTGTGCTATCACTAGCCTACACAGCTGCATCTAGCGAGCTATGTCATATCATTAGTTCACTGAAACTCCATAGTTGAGTCATTAGATCATTTGCTCCCAACGATAACCCACATAATAAATGAAAGCTTGTCTTCTGGCACTGTTTCCCCTCTTTGTAAATCAGCTGTCATCAAACCATTGCTTAAGAAGTCTGGTCTGGATGAAAATAATAAAAACAATTATAGACCTGTATCTAACTTATCATTTTTATCTAAAGTTATTGAAAAACTAGTTCTACAACAACTTGTTGCTTATTTAATTGACCACTCTCTTCTCAGTTCTAATCAGTCGGCCTATAGACATTTCCACAGCACAGAGACAGCTCTCTTGAGAGTGACCAATGACCTCTTGCTCGCATTGGACAGTGGTGATATCTCCATCCTGATCCTCTTAGACCTCAGTGCGGCCTTTGACACTGTTGACCATGTAATCCTTTTCAAAACCCTTGAAAATTACGTTGGAATTTCTGGCTCAGTTTTGGCTTGATTTAGGTCCTACCTCTCTGATAGAACGCAGGCGGTCACTGTCGATGGCTGTCTCTCAGGCAGTGCTGATTTGGTGTACGGAGTACCACAGGGATCCGTTTTAGGCCCGATTCTATTCACATTGTATACCAGACCACTGCTCCTCTTGCTTGGGAGGCATGCTGTTGAGAGCCAGTCATTTGCAGATGACATGCAGCTATACAAGCATACCCACCCTTCTCTTGTTGAATCCGCTGTCCTGACTTTGCGGGGATGCATTGATGATGTCAAGTCATGGATGACACTCAGCAAGTTGAAGCTTAATGATGACAAAACGGAAGCACTCCTCATCCACAATCACACATCATCCTCTACCTCAACTCTTCCTACCTCATTTCAAGTAGGTAACTCTGACATACGGTTTACACCCTCTGCTAGGAATCTTGGTTATATTCTTTCTAACAACATGTCTCTCGATAAACACATATCTCACATTTGTCGTTCAGCATACACCACTATCCGTCAGATCAGCTCCATACGCCACTACCTCACAGTTAGCGCTACAAAACTCTAGTCTGTGCTCTTGTTCTCTCTCGTCTTGACTATTGCAACTCTCCTCTGTCAGGTTCACCGAAACACTGCATAGAAAAACTGCAGAAAGTTCAAAACTCAGCTGCTAGGCTAGTTTTAAAGGCACAAAAAAAAACGTGATCACTTCACTCCACTACTCCATTCCCTTCATTGGCTACCTATACAGGAACGCATTGACTACAAGTTGTCTGTTCTCTGTCACAACTTTTTCTTGGATTCCTGCCCTTCCTCTCTAACCGAACTTCTTTCTGTCTATTCACCCCTTCAACAGCTTCGCTCCTTTGCAGACACGCGTATTCTGTCCGTTCCCAAGACACACACTAAAACATATGGTGAATGATCTTTCTCTTTCTGCGCCCCCAAACAATGGAATTCTTTGCCACTACAAATACGCAATATACCAACCACCCAGGCCTTCAAAACTGCACTCAAAACATATCTTTTTAAATTATACTACCCTGACTGATTCCCCTCCTCTGACCGCTAAATGATCTTGCTGGCTGCTGTCCATGGTTTGCCTTGTAAAAGTTATGTGGTGGGGTGGGTCAATATACATTGCTGTTCTTTATTTCATAAATGTATTTTATTTTAATGTCATGATTATGTCTCTTTTGATAAAATTGTTATGCACAGCGCGGTGAGCCCAGCCCCTAGGCTGGGGTACCGCGCTATATAAGACGTCTTATTATTATTATTATAGACTGTCATCCTTGTGTCAGTCAAAGAATTATATCCTAAAATTTCCAAAGATCGTGGGCCAAGGGCAATTCTTCTACTCTTTGATATAGTTCTCATAATAAATGATAGGCAGTCAAATATTCAACCAAATACACAACTTATTGTGTTTTTAATTGTGCTGTGACACTGATTTCTGTGAAATGCCTAGGTGTGCTGTGACACTGAGATCTGTGAAAAGCCTAGGTGTGCTGTGACACTGAGATCTGTGAAAAGCCTAGGTGTTCTGTGACAATGAGATCTGTGAAAAGCCTAGGTGTGCTGTGACACTGAGATCTGTGAAAAGCGTAGGTGTGCTGTGACACTGAGATCTGTGAAATGCCTGGGTGTGTCACTGAGATCTGTGAAAAGCATAGGTGTGCTGTGACACTGAGATCTGTGAAATGCCTAGGTGTGCTGTGACACTGAGATCTGTGACATGCCTGGGTGTGCCACTGAGATCTGTGAAAAGCGTTGGTGTGCTGTGACACTGAGATCTGTGAAATGCCTAGGTATGCTGTGACACTGAGATCTGTGAAATGCCTAGGTGTGCTGTGACACTGAGTTCTGTGAAAAGCCTAGGTGTGCCACTGAGATCTGTGAAAAGCCTAGGTGTGCCATTGAGATCTGTGAAAAGCCTAGATGTGCCACTGAGGTCTGTGAAAAGCCTAGGTGTGCTGTTCGACTGAGTTCTGAGAAATGCCTAGGTGTGCTGTACATACATTACAAGTGTATTTCTCATTGTTTTGTTTCAGTTGTGCCGGATACAGGTGTTGCAATTTATCGTCGCATTTCAGAGCCAGAAGCAAACAAGATAGGTGTAACAGCTCATATTGGTGGCTTTCTGGCAGGTAAGTCATATAGTTTATATTGGTGGCTTTCTGGTAGGTGAGTCATCTAGTTTATATTGGTGGCTTTCTGGTAGGTGATTCATCTAGTTCACATTGGTGTCTTTCTGGCAGGTGAGTCATCTAGTTTATATTGATGTCTCTCTGGCAGGTGAGTCATCTAGTTTATATTGGTGGCTTTCTGGCAGGTGAGTCATCTAGTTTATATTGATGTCTCTCTGGCAGGTGAGTCATCTAGTTTACATTGGTGTCTTTCTGGCAGGTGAGTCATCTAGTTTATATTGGTGGTTTTCTGGCAGGTGAGTCATCTAGTTTATATTGGTGGCTTTCTGGCAGGCGAGTCATCTAGTTTATATTGGTGGCTTTCTGGCAGGCGAGTCATCTAGTTTATATTGGTGGTTTTCTTGCAGGTGAGTCATCTAGTTTATATTGGTGGTTTTCTGGCAGGTGAGTCATCTAGTTTATATTGGTGGTTTTCTGGCAGGTGAGTCATCTAGTTTATATTGGTGGTTTTCTGGCAGGTGAGTCATCTAGTTTATATTGGTGGTTTTCTGGCAGGTGAGTCATCTAGTTTATATTGGTGGTTTTCTGGCAGGTGAGTCATCTAGTTTATATTGGTGGTTTTCTGGCAGGTGAGTCATCTAGTTTATATTGGTGGTTTTCTGGCAGGTGAGTCATCTAGTTTATATTGGTGGTTTTCTGGCAGGCCTGTCATCTAGTTTATATTGGTGGTTTTCTGGCAGGTGAGTCATCTAGTTTATATTGGTGGTTTTCTGGCAGGCCTGTCATCTAGTTTCACATTTTAAAAAAAAATCTGAATGTTCAGAAAGGTGTTTATTCATATCTTTTTCTTAACATGTTGATTGGACAGGTCCTGGCGTATAGCAACAATTCATGATTACCTGTTCCTTCTAAAGTTGTGTCTTCAGGATGGGAACATTTCCCAAGAAAGCCTTTGTTAACTAAAAATCATGCAGGATCTTTGGGGAGAAATCTTATTCCCAACAGCTATGGAGACTTTGTAGTCATGAAACGACTTTGGAAATGTTGGCTTTGTCTCTTTGGAAATGTTGGCTTTGTTTCTTTGGAAATGTTGGCTTTGTCTCTTTGGAAATGTTGGCTTTGTCTCTTTGGAAATGTTGGCTTTGTCTCTTTGGAAATGTTGGCTTTGTCTCTTTGGAAATGTTGGCTTTGTCTGATGTAAAATCTGTCCTGTAATTATTTCACAAGCGGATGTTGCTCAAGTTAAAGGCATGACCATATAGGATTAGTGGAAACAAAGTCCTTATGACATGATTGATAGGTCACAGTCCTTATGACATGATTGATAGGTCACAGTCCTTATGACATGATTGATAGGTCACAGTCCTTATGACATGATTGATAGGTCACAGTCCTTATGACATGATTTATAGGTCACAGTCCTTATGACATGATTGATAGGTCACAGTCCTTATGACAGGATTGATAGGTCACAGTCGTTATGACAGGATTGATAGGTCACAGTTCTTATGACAGGATTGAAAGGTCACAGTCCTTATGACATGATTGAAAGGTCACAGTCCTTATGACATGATTGATAGGTCACAGTCCTTATGACATGATTGAAGGGTCAAAACAAAGTCCTTAAGACATGATTGAAAGGTTACAGTCCTTATGACCTGATTGAAAGGTCACAATCCTTATGATTGAAAGGTCACAGTCCTTATGACAGGATTGAAAGGTCACAGTCCTTATGACATGATTGACAGGACAAAATTGACCATTACATGTCCTACCCACCACCCTCTGGCAGACATGTTACCAACAAGATGGTTCTATTAAAAAAAAAACTTTTTGGATGTATAGGACGTCCTTTTGGATGTATAGGAGGACGTCCTTTTGGATGTATAGGACATCCTTTTGGATGTATAGGACGTCCTTTTGGATGTATAGGAGGACGTCCTTTTGGATGTATAGGACATCCTTTTGGATGTATAGGACGTCCTTTTGGATGTATAGGACGTCCTTTTGGGTGTATAGGATGTCCTTTTGGATGTATAGGACGTCCTTTTGGATGTAAAGGACGTCCTTTTGGATGTATAGGACATCCTTTTGGATGTATAGGACATCCTTTTGGATGTATAGGACGTCCTTTTGGATGTATAGGACGTCCTTTTGGATGTAAAGGACGTCCTTTTGGATGTATAGGACGTCCTTTTTAGGAAACACCTCCCTACTATTAAAGTACACATTGTATTTGAACCCTCTGTAACCGATGCCTCTGTAACAAAAGCCTCTGGAACCCAAGCCTCTGTAGCCGAAGCCTCTGTAACCGAAGCCTCTGTAAGATGATAATGTGCCCTTTAGGATTGAAGTAAAACATATCACTCCTCTGGGTGTGTTCAGCAAAGGTTGGATTGACTTGAACTAGTCAAACAGTCAATGACATCATGCTTTGTACAAAGTGCTCTGTGGAAGACAGGCTGTCACCCGGATGACTGATTGAGAGAACACCTGTACTATGTGGAAGACAGGCTGTGACCCGGATGACTGATTGAGAGAACACCTGTACTATGTGGAAGACAGCCTGTCACGCGGATGACTGATTGAGAGAAGACCTGTACTTTGGGGGAGACAGGCTGTCACCCGGATGACTGATTGAGAGAACACCTGTACTATGGGGGAGACAGGCTGTCACCCAGATGACTGATTGAGAGAACACCTGTACTATGTGGAAGGCAGGCTGTGACCCGGATGACTGATTGAGAGAACACTTGCACTATGTTGAAGACAGGCTGTGACCCGGATGACTGATTGAGAGAACACCTGTACTGTGTGAAAGACAGGCTGTGACCTGGATGACTGATTAAGAGAACACCTGTACTAAGGGGGAGACAGGCTGTGACCCGGATGACTGATTGATAGAACACCTATACTATGTGGAAGACAGGCTGTCACCCGGATGACTGATTGAGAGAACACCTGTTCTAAGGGGGAGACAGGCTGTCACTCAGATGACTGATTGAGAGAACACCTGTACTATGGGAGAGACAGACTGTCACCCTTATGACTGATTAAGAGAAAACCTGTACTTTGGTGGAGACAGACTGTCACCTTGAAGACTGATTGAGAGAACACCTGTACTATGGGGGAGACAGACTGTAACCTTGATGACTGATTGAGAGAACACCTGTACTATGGGGGAGACAGACTGTAACCTTGATGACTGATTGAGAGAACACCTGTACTATGAGGGAGACAGACTGTCACCTTGATGACTGATTGAGAGAACACCTGTCCTATCCGGGAGACAGGCTATTGAGGTGTTAACAAACTTTGTCTGACTTCAGGCTGATATGATGTAGTTAAGGTGTTAACAAACTTTGTCTGACTTCAGGCTGATATGATGTTGTTAAGGTGTTAACAAACTTTGTCTGACTTCAGGCTGATGTGATGTAGTTAAGTTGTTAACAAACTTTGTCCGACTTCAGGCTGATATGACGTTGTTAAGGATTTTAACCCCCTATTTAAAAAAAATTCAATGAGTATAGGCACAGGTACACATAGGTACAGGTACACATAGGCACAGGTACACATAGGCACAGGTACGCATAGGCACAGGTATGCATAGGCACAGGTACACATAGGCACAGGTATGCATAGGCACAGGTACACATGGCACAGGCACACATAGGCACAGGTACACATAGGCACAGGTACGCATAGACACAGGTACACATGGGTATGCATAGGCTATAAATTTTATTTTGACCAATATTGATATGAATTTAAGAGGTCATCAAATTTGACGAAACGCGAAAACTTTTTGAATATGTGAATTTTTTTATATTAATTGAGAAAACTGTGAACAAAATCTTGGAACTTTGTTGTATCTCTTGTTGTATCTCTTGTTGTATCTCTTGTTGTATCTCTTGTTGTATCTCTTGTTGTATCTATTGTTGTATCTATTGTTGTATCTCTTGTTGTATCTCGTGTTATATCTCTTGTTGTATCTCTTGTTGTGTCTCTTAATGTATCTCTTAATGTATCTCTTGTTGTATCTCTTGTTGTATCTCTTGTTGTATCTCTTGTTGTATCTCTTGTTGTATCTCTTGCTGTATCTCTTAATGTATCTCTTGTTGTATCTCTTGTTGTATCTCTTGCTGTATCTCTTGCTGTATCTCTTGCTGTATCTCTTGTTGTATCTCTTGCTGTATCTCTTGCTGTATCTCTTGTTGTATGCAGAAATAAATGTATTTTTTCTTGATTTTCAAAACGTTTGAAAATGTAAAATGTCTTTGCAGGTTTGATGCTTGGCATCGTCATCCTCAAGAACGTGAACACACTGACATGGGAGAAGAACTTGGGTTGGGTGACCTTGGCCGTGTACCTGGCCTTTGTTGCCTTCTGCTGTCTGTTCAATGCTTTCTATGATGGCTATCCTGAAACAGACTGGAAACCTTTGTAAACAAGGACTTGTGGACTAAGTCCATCGGACCATGCAAATGTCCACCAGCTCTTTTTTATTTGGGAAAACATTTCTTTACTTTATTGATAGATTCCTGTGTATGATGGCTCTGATGGAATAATCATTCAACATCTCATTCATTATAATCCACTAACAAATTGTTTATTTTGGCAATATTTTTGAAGCTATTTAAATGTTTCTTTTACTTCCAAATTTTTAAATTTTACAAAATAAAGTGGAATGGGTTTGTATGTATATATATATGCCTAGGAGTAAAGACAAACATATCCAATGGGTTTGTGTGTATACTCTTAGAAGTAAAGACAAACATATCCAATGGGTTTGTGTGTATACTCCTAGGAGTAAAGACAAACATATCCAATGGGTTTGTGTGTATACTCCTAGGAGTAAAGACAAACATATCCAATGGGTTTGTGTGTATACTCTTAGAAGTAAAGACAAACATATCCAATGGGTTTGTGTGTATACTCCTAGGAGTAAAGACAAACATATCCAATGGGTTTGTGTGTATACTCCTAGGAGTAAAGACAAACATATCCAATGGGTTTGTGTGTATACTCTTAGAAGTAAAGACAAACATATCCAATGGGTTTGTGTGTATACTCCTAGGAGTAAAGACAAACATATCCAATGGGTTTGTGTGTATACTCTTAGAAGTAAAGACAAACATATCCAATGGGTTTGTGTGTATACTCTTAGGAGTAAAGACAAACATATCCAATGGGTTTGTGTGCATACTCTTAGGAGTAAAGACAAACATATCCAATGGGTTTGTGTGTATACTGCTAGGAGTAAAGACCAACATATCCAATGGGTTTGTGTGTATACTGCTAGGAGTAAAGACAAACATATCCAATGGGTTTGTGTGTATACTGCTAGGAGTAAAGACAAACATATCCAATGGGTTTGTGTGCATACTGCTAGGAGTAAAGACAAACATATCCAATGGGTTTGTGTGTATACTGCTAGGAGTAAAGACCAACATATCCAATGGGTTTGTGTGTATACTGCTAGGAGTAAAGACAAACATATCCAATGGGTTTGTGTGTATACTGCTAGGAGTAAAGACAAACATATCCAATGGGTTTGTGTGTATACTGCTAGGAGTAAAGACAAACATATCCAAGGTTTTTCTTGTTTTTTGTTACTTTTTTCTTGTTGCTATTTTTAGATTGGCATTTTTAAAGCTTTTTAAATAATCTTAGTTAATCTTATATCCATATATATTGATACGTCTTACTTAAACAATGGACAAACTGTAAACTTTATATTACAGCATGTTACTCTTTTGACTGTTCTTTGTTTACAACTGAAAGATCTTTTTATGCCATATATATTGCCATTTTTATTTTTACTTGTTTTAGTTGTATTCTTGTTTCTATGGTAACAGTTGGTCGATTACAAAATATACTTTCATAAGAAGTTAGTATTTCAATAATGCATAAATCTTTTGCGTGTATCAACAAAATTTTTATATTATCTGTGGGTGATATTATTTTCGATACACTTTAAGGGGCACAATTTGGGAACCACTGACTCAAGGTAGCCCTCACTTGAACATGCATTTTAAGCTTGATCAAAAGCTGAGACTAATGTGTTTGGCTCAATGAGCTGGCTCATCTACTGCACATGTTGAGCTCAATGATCTGGCTCATCTACTGCACATGCTGAGCTAAATGAGCTGGCTAATCTACTGCACATGTTGAGCTCAATGAGCTGGCTCATCTACTGCACATGTTGAGCTCAATGAGGTGGCTCATCTACTGCACATGTTGAGCTCAATGAGGTGGCTCATCTACTGCACATGTTGAGCTCAATGAGCTGGCTCATCTACTGAACATGTTGAGCTCAATGAGCTGGCTCATCTACTGAACATGTTGAGCTCAATGAGGTGGCTCATCTACTGCACATGTTGAGCTCAATGAGGTGGCTCATCTACTGAACATGTTGAGCTCAATAAGCTGGCTCATCTACTAAACATGTTGAGCTCAATGAGCTGGCTCATCTACTGAACATGTTGAGCTCAGGACATAAAGAGATGGCTGAAGATGTTGAGGATTTCATTTTTAATTTTGAACCAAGTCGTGGTCAGAAATATCGACTTGTTTTTCTCTAGCGGAATCAATCAATCAATCAATATGTTGAAAGCTCAAGATGATGTGCAATGATACAATCAACAAATGAAATGATCAGTTTGTAACAACTGATTTTAAATATCAAACTGATCAAATATTCAAACATGAAAGATCAGTGTCATATAAAGTGATACAATCCGCTTTTTCAAATATATAATAGATATCAAAGATAGGTTACAAGGAAAAGTGTTCATCTCACCCACAAAAGTTCTAGACTAGTAATTGTGATTGTCCTTACTATGCTATGTTAGACTCACCTACAAAAGCTCTAGACTAGTAATTGTGATTGTCCTTACTATGCTATGTTAGACTCACCTACAAAAGCTCTAGACTAGCTGTTGTGATTGTCCTTACTATGCTATGTTAGACTCACATACAAAAGTTCTAGACTAGCTGTTGTGAGTGTCCTTGCTATGCTAGTGCAGAATTCTCTCACCCTAGTGCAGAATGCTCTCACCCTAGTGCAGAATGCTCTCACCCTAGTGCAGAATGCTCTCACCCTAGTGCAGAATGCTCTCACCCTAGTGCAGAATGCTCTCACCCTAGTGCAGAATGCTCTCACCCGTGCCAAACTTTTGATATATTTATATCTTGGTTTTTCATTTTTTTTTTTTTTCTTTTTTTTTTTTTTAAAAATAATGCTCTTTATATACAGGCAGCAAAATGTCGATTGGCTCAGTTGTGTCTATTTGCTGCGTTTTATCTATTTGCTCATTTTATTTTTTTTTTTTTTTTTTTTTTGTTTTTTCTTTTTTTTTTTTTTCTTTTTTTTTTTTTTAAAAATAATGCTCTTTATATACAGGCAGCAAAATGTCGATTGGCTCAGTTGTGTCTATTTGCTGCGTTTTATCTATTTGCTCAGTTTTGTCCAATGGAATGGTCATATATTTTAATGGATGTTTTCTTGTTTTGATACATAATTCTTTTTTTAAGTTATAAATTTAACCATTTTGTTGAATTCTATTTCATTCTGAACATTTACCAAACACACTTTGCTCATGCAGATTATGATTTAGTGTGGTTGTGTTGAGTTGTGTTCAACTCGCAATCCCTTGTGTTAGATGAACTGTGCCTTGTCTGATCAATTGAACAATGCCTTATGTGGTCATATGGACAATATCTTGTGTGGTCATTTGAACAATGCCTTATGTGGTCATTTGACATTTGGACAATGCCTTATGTGGTCATTTGGACAATGCCTTATGTGGTCATTTGGACAATGCCTTATGTGGTCATTTGGACAATGCCTTATATGGTCATTTGGACAATGCCTTATGTGGTCATTTGAAAAATGCTGTGGGGTCAGCTGAGCAATGCTGTGTGGTCAGCTGACTATGAATGCCCTGTGTGGTCAATTGATCAAAAATATTTCCCATCCTTTGTCCTTACTATTTAATAATCATTTTTTTTTTAAATTAACTAAAATACTAGAAATTAATTGGATTTGTTTACAGGAAAAATTATAATTCAATCCATAGCAAATATTGATGTTCCCAAATTGTCCATTCGGGAAATATATTGAGCACAGTCAATAGACAGCAGTATTACTCTCCAACTGTTATTGAAATATCTAGGGCTTGTTTTTCTGAATTTGATTTTGTCTAACTCAGGGCTTTGGTTGGTCAGTTTTGTAATATCATGGTATGCATTGTACACATAGACATCCATTAGGTAACATCATGGTATGCCTTGTACACATAGACATCCATTAGGTAACATCATGGTATGCATTGTACACAGAGACATCCATTAGGTAACATCATGGTATGCATTGTACACAGACATACATTAGGTAACACCATGATATGCATTGTGCACAGACATCCATTAGGTAACATCATGGTAAGCCTTGTACACATAGACATCCATTAGGTAACATCATGGTATGCATTGTGCACAGACATCCATTAGGTAACATCATGGTATGCATTGTACACAGAGACATCCATTAGGTAACATCATGGTATGCCTTGTACACAGACATCCATTAGGTAACATCATGGTATGCCTTGTACACAGACATCCATTAGGTAACATCATGGTATGCCTTGTAAACAGACATCCATTAGGTAACATCATGGTATGCCTTGTACACAGACATCCATTAGGTAACATCATGGTATGCCTTGTACACAGACATCCATTAGGTAACATCATGGTATGCCTTGTACACACAGACATCCATTAACTAATTAATCTTTTGAAAATGTAGACATTGTATTAGATGTAGTTATTGGGACTACTGGTTTAGCCTGACATTGTTATAAGAATAATAATTGAGTCGATCCTGTGCCTTGTTTTATGTGAGAGAAATTCCCATTACTCATTTTTTTTTATTCTCAAAAATATCACTAATACATAATACATGTTTCTGATTTAACGCTTGATAATGTTTTATGTTTTATTTGTATAGTAAAAGTGTCAAAGAATCAATGTGTCTAGGGTCAACTCTATCAATGTGTCTAGAGTCAACCCTGTCAACATGTCTAGGATCAACTCTATCAATGTGTCTAGGGTTGACCCTGTTAATGTGTCTAGGGTCAATGTGTCTAGGGTGAACTCTGTTTGGGTTATCAGTTGTATTCTGAGGTCTAAAAATTGATTGAATGATGATTGATGACAAGAAGCATTTAATGTTGATAGACATGATGATGACTGTGTAGGTAGACATGATGATGACTGTGTTGGTAGATATGATGATGACTGTGTTGGTAGATATGATGATGACTGTGTTGGTAGATATGATGACTGTGTTGGTAGATATGATGATGTTTGTGTTGGTAGATATGATGATGACTGTGTTGGTAGATATGATGATGACTGTGTTGGTAGACATGATGATGACTATGTTGGTAGATGTGATGATGACTGTGTTGGTAGATATGATGATGACTATGTTGGTAGATATGATGATGACTGTGTTGGTAGACATGATGATGACTGTGGGCTCACTAAAGAGTGGAGGAAATATGAGAAGAGAGTGACTGAAATGCACTCTGGGTGTTTGGAGGGGTCATGGCTTTGTGGTGTCACCCATCTTGTTGCCATCATAGATTTGTAGTGTCACCCATCTTGTTGCCATCATAGATTTGTAGTGTCACCCATCTTGTTGCCATCATAGATTTGTAATGTCACCCATCTTGTTGTCATCATAGATTTGTAGTGTCATCCATCTTGTTGCCATTATAGATTTGTAGTGTCATCCATCTTGTTGCCATCATAGATTTGTAGTGTCACCCATCTTGTTGCCATCATAGATTT